CTTTATGTAATCTAGATTAAGTTAATAACATTTCCTTAATAATAACAGGTCAGTGAGGACTGTACATCTAATAGATTTCACATAGCTTACAGGATGAACTCAAAAGCTGGAGGAGAACAGTACCTGGCATTATGTGTAATTCAGTGATGGCACTGTAAAGCAAGAAACCATCATGTCTTAAAGAAGGCTGAGAGCCGAGAAGGATGTAGAAAAAAGGAAAAGGATTTAAATGGAGAGAGCTCAGATTGTGTAGATTTGTCAAGAACTTGACTAAAGCACAGATATTAGATAGAAGTTAAGTGGAAGTGAAGGGAAAACATCAAGAGTAACTTTCCCACTCCAAGTGCGATGAAATTCACCTGAAGTTTCTCTCTGCACCTCAAAGTCCAAGAGGTGTGTTGAGTCATGCCACCATTCCTCTGCTTTACTCACCCAGCCTGACCATTCACATGGTGGCTGAAGTACAGGGCTGAGCTGCAAGAACATACATTGGAGGAAACTGAGTAGATACTTTGCACACCTTCATCTCTCCTCATTCATTTATTCTCTCAAGTAAGTATAGCCCAGAAATAGTTGCTGCTCAAAAGGTGTGATGGAGCTTGACCTTTTAATGCCATTAATGTGAGATGCGCCTAAATCAAGGATCTCGTCTCAGCACCATGCTAATTTTAACACATTATTCTCTTTAGGCCTTCAATCTCCTTCCCCACAGAAACTATAATTCATGGAAACGTGTAAGAGATGGACTTGAGGCAAAGAACAAGGACAGGACAAATCACGCTAATTTAATTTGCTTGCTTAATTACATTTCATATCTCATTCGTTTGAGATATACAGATGAGTAAAATTCATGTGGACACAGACATTGGAATGCCAAAAATAAAGTCATGAGCAGTTTCATCATTGAGTTGTGCAGAAAATGAAAGTGAGAAAAGGAGAGAGAGAATGTGTTAGTTAGCAGATGCAGTAAGGGGACAGGGAAAATACAGTTTGTTCCTTCTATAGTGACTCTGATCTCATCTTTCCTTTTTCTCCACTTCTCTGTAAATATTTAGATCTTCTTAAGTCTACATTTTCCCATTCTCATCTTTGTTTTGCTGTACAAACCATCATTTTGCAGCAGCAAGTTCCCTGGGCCCACTGTGGTCCACTGAAATATTCTAGTAGATAGACAAAGGGAAATACAGTGACGATATGCTCTTCCAACTTCCAACTCAAATCAGTCTGAAATTGATCCTAAAGCAAGTAGGACTGCTGGCTTTATCCTTCTGAAGTGATTAGGAAGAGCATCAAAGGAAAACAGAAATCTCTCAGTTCTGTGCCATCCAGAACTTCAGATCCTAATTTTATTGCTGTGTTGTATCTTGAGAGCAGCTGGGAAGAGTTGAGAATCTGGGCCTCTATCTTCACACATCCAAATCTGTCTTTAAATCTCACTTCTTCAGACAATCTCTCCTTACTATTTTTCAGCATCGACAAGTTACAGGTGCCTTTATCCTCTTCTCTGATGCCTACTTGTCATTTTTGGAGTTGTTGCTTTGGAAATGGACTAATTCCCATCTGCAGTGTCTCTGTTCCATGCCAGCTACTCACAAGATATTATAACTGTCACTATTTGTCACTGTTATTAGCAATAAGCATGATGACAAAATTATGTTCTTTAAAATATCAGTCAGAGGCCAGATATAAAGCTTCACAGATATTGATTACCACATTCATTCAGCTGAACTGTGAAGACTGACACTCCTGCAGAACCATGGAATTGTCACCAAAATCGCCTCCAGTGCTCACGGCTGGTCAGGAAAGTTTGGGTAAAATATGCCATATCCCAGTTAGAATCATGGAATCATGAAGGTTAGAAAAGACTTCTAAGATCACCAAGTCCAATCCCAACCCTTTCACCATACCCATTGACCATGTTCCTCAGTGCCACATCTCCATGGTCTGGAACACCTCCAGTGACATTGACACAACCCCTCTGGGCAGCCTGTGCCACTGCATCTGAGAATTTTTTCCTAATATCCAACCTGAACCTCCCCTTGCTCAACTTGAGGCCATTGCCTCTTGTCCTGGCGCTGTTATCTGGGAAAAGAGGCCATTTCCCATCTCATTACAACATCCTATCAGGAAGCTGTAGGGAATTGCCAATTTCTGTATGAGAGAGTTTAGCTGCATAAGCATGAGCCATGAGATGCCAATGGCTTTCAAGATCAGACCAGGCTCTGGTTTTGTTTTACTTGTGAGCACAGACATAAGCATTAGGTCTTTAAACATGTTTTTTTTTTCTTCTCTGCATCTCAACCAATCCCACCTAATACTCATTTTTATCTGCACAGCATATGAGGATTACTTTCAGCAACAGCTTGCACTCTTATACTTCATGCTGCAAAAATAAACACAATAAGAAAAAGTTGTATTTTACTGCTATATTTCTGATGCAGTGGAAATCAACAAATGAAAAATCTAACTTGCTGGAATCATCTCCAGTCAGTATTGCAAAGAGCACAGCTCTCAAAGAAGTGAGTGACACATTGCAAAGCATCATCATTGGCTTGCGCTGACGCTGCTGGGTCCAGCCAGCACATTAACAACCATCTGAGTAAGATGAGTGTCCAAAGCCTGGTGGGAGAGATTCGTCTGACCCATGTTAGCCCTGGCAGTGTGAATGTCTCCATCGGAGCTGAACAGCCTGACTCCTCCATATCCCTGCAGCGAAGCAGACACTTTTATTGTGCAGTTTGGCTCATCCTACAATGGACAGTCTTAGGGCTAGATAAATCACACCAATTTTTCTCCATTGATGATAGAGGAAGCCTTGGGTGACTAGTTCAGTCAGAGACCCCTACCCTGGGCAAGCTGCACCTCTCTGCTCTGCCTGATCCCCATCATAACAAAATCCTCTGCTTTGGTGAAATATAGCTGTGAGTTCTACGGCCATGGCCACAGCCTCAGTGGTGGCCAATTTGGGGCACTAATGAAGAAGCACCAGAGATGCATCCTGTGCTGTTGACCTCTGCCCCTGTTCCAGCCAATTCCCTACTCCCATGCCAGACAAACCCCTAAAAAACAAGGCCAGGGCCTTCTTGCACACTGTTAGCAGCATTTATCTTCAGGTAAGTTTGGATCAGGAAGTTATTTGGCATTTTCCCAGTAGATTCGTGAACACACGGAATTCATAGATGCATCGAATCAGCCATTTTCCTGTCCAGGTCTAGCAGCATGAAACGCACTGAGCAGACTTTCAATATTACCCAAATGAAAATGGTTTCCTTGAAAAAAGTCCTTAAAGCATGCTTTAAGCTGAATCATGTCCAAGCTGGACTATATAAATATCATTGTTTTGCCTTGTTGCTATAAAACCAGTAAGTATTGGGAGCTTTGCTCTTTCCCAGGAGGTAGAGCTCATGCCAGGCAGCATAAGGCAGGCTGCCAGGCAGGAGGTAGACATGGCTATAGAAACAGTTTTTTCCAGATCTGCCCTTTGAGATTAGTGAACAAGCTTTCTGTGAGTGAAGGAGATTTCCCATGCATGTTACATGTCAAAGGTAGGCAAGTACAAAGGGTGGCTGAAAGCAACACTGATCTCATAGTTCAGGTGTGGCACAGGTGAAAACTATGATCCTTAGGTGAAAACTTGGGAACAACCTTCACCTCTAATTATGTCTAAAACAGATTCAAACTTCTTCATCTCCTTAGGCCCTTTTATGGAAGCGTCTTGATTTCTATGCAGAAATTAAAATGCTTCATAAATTGTTCAAAACTTTGTCATTCTTATCTGGAAATGCCTCACTATCTACCAGAGCTGCATTTGTCTTATTCCACGCTCCTATTATAGTTGTCATGACCTGCAGACCAGCTGGCTTACATCCTGTGTGATCCTGTGTCGCTTTTGAAAACCTGTTTGTGGCGCACATGGACAACACACAGAGTTGGGCCATAGGAGGCAGTGGATGAAGTATGTATTTCCAGTTGAAAGATCAGCGCAGCTCCCATCTTACTTGCTTTTCCAGGCTATCTTCATACTCAAGCAGATCTTTCTGAACAGATTTGCCTCTTTTCTAGATTCAAGGATTATGAACATCACAGCAAGAAACACTTCTCATGTAAAGATATTAAAGACCTGGGAGACCTCTAAAATAGTCTTTTTTTCCGACCTCACACCTTGCACCCACCTGGAAACACTGAAATGTTGTATCTCCAGACAGCTGGAGCCTTATACACATCACTTAGAATCACAGAATTATAGAATCATAAAGGTGGGAAAAGACCACTAAGATCATCTAGCCCAACCATCAACCCATCCCACCATACCCACTAACTCACAGCCCTCAGTGCCACATCTCTTCAGTTCTTGAACATGTCTAGGAATGGTAACTCTACCGCCTTCCTGGACGGCCTGTTCCAATGTATCACAAGATTTTCTGAGAATAATTTTTTTCCTAATTTCCTGATTTTTTCACTTGGTGAAAGAGTAGTTAGGGCTGCTGCCTGCAGCCTGGAAAAAGCTCAAATTAAGGTACTGGAATCCTCAGCCCTATTTTTCAGGCCCTTAGAGAGAAAAAAATAGAGACTAGAAATGAACAGACCATACTTGCCAGTAAGCACTCAGGAACCATAACATTGTGTTCTGGCTGAATGGTAGAGCCAACCAAACTACATTTTCTGTATTTCCTTCCTATCTTGCATATTTCAGCCGTAGTAAAAAGTAAAAAAAGGGCATCAAAATACAGCCAAGTTGTAAAACCTGACCATCTGCAGGGCGGCTGGTGGAAAGCCATTTTTCTTTGCCTTGAGAGACATTTTTCCAAAGCTGTCAAACATCTATCAACAAAGACCACTGGAATATTTACTAGTCCAACATCTGTCAAGAAATTACTAGCTTGTTAAAGGTATATTGTTAGTTACTGGCATTAGACATCTATTAACATTAACTGAACTCCTCAGAATTATTTAGGTCTCATTGAAGTTAATGGGAGCTTTACCATTAACTGTTGACTGACCTGATGGATTTAACTCTTGGCAGACAGAACAGCAGTGGGTTTTTGCTCAAGCCACATACCTGTGAATGAAGACATATAGGGACATGATCTGAGGGAGGACACACATGAAAGAAAAGGAGTATTATTTCAGATAGCCCAACCACTTTGGGGTATTCAATTAAACATTATCGCCTGGAGTGTCTCTGCTAAAACTGGACATGCACAGTGGGACACTGTTACGTCCCATGCAAGCAAATCAAAGTGAGAGACTGGAACCTCTGCCAGGATGTGAAAGACATGTCTACCATGGAAAATGTGGTTGCACCTTGCAAAGTTAGCTAGCTGGGGTGGTGATTTAAGGCAGTAGTGTTAAGAAAGTTTGGATTATAGGCTGATTTAGTTACTCTAGCTCAAGCTGAAAGGAAAGACATAGTGAAAGGGAAGGTGCTATCTGGAGCTAATGTCCAAGTTGTCTTTAATTCACTCTTGCTCCAACCTGGGTGACAAAGGTGTTTGCTTTCAAGTAAGGCTACCCATCCAGACATTCACATCAGCACCATGGTATCAGCAGTTAAACCCTTTGCAATGAGGGAAGGGTGGCTCTTACGCAGCTGAAATTCAGCCCCTCCCCCACTGCCCCTGACACTTATTAAAGGCACATTTTCTAAGCCACATGTGTCTGTAAGGCACATGAAAGAACTAGTTGATGTGTAATTAGCATTGCTGATATTTATACCATTAAGGATCCAGGGAGAAACAAGGGTACACCACATACTCTTTGATTGGAGATGATTATGTTTCTGCTGATGCCAATATTTCAGTGTAGTAATTTGCCCTCTCTGTTCTCCCCTTCCACGTAAGCCAGTTTTGCAGTCTTCAGGGACAGATTTGATTGTGCCTTTTAGTCAAGTTGAGAGGGTCTAACCTTGCTGTCACATGCAGCAGTAACAATAGGCTATCCAACAGAAAACCTTACTTTTCCATTAATACAGACTTCAGGGCCAATGCTAGGTTAAGAGTTAAACTTTTAGTTATCAGATCCCTTGTGTGATATAAACTATCATTATGAGATACATTTTCTTTCCATTATGCTGTAATAAAACCCTCCTCCTTATAATATAAATATATACATTTCCTCCGAGGCATCCTATTTGCTAAAGAACATCATGGAAATCTAATCTCCTTTTAATCAATAAAACACCAAATGATGTTTCTATTTAATGCAAACTTTGCTCCTTACCATGTAATGAACCTGTTTCTATTAAGAACACAGCCATTAATGGAATAAGTAATGCATTACTACTATTCCACTGCTACAGTCAGATTTCTCTTAGTATTTCCATTATAAACCCCTCTATTTAAGGATCTGCAATTTGCCGTGAGCTGATGTTTTGCCTATAAAATCCTTTTATACTGCTTGAGGACTCGGGGCTGGGGGCTTGGGTTGGGGAGAAGGTTATAGGTGTCATCATGCATAGGGGATCTCTTGCTCAGCCACATACTCACTCGATGACCCTGGCCAAGTCATTTAGCCTTTCAGAGCTTCAGTCAATCTAAATGGAAAATGGTCTGAAAATGAGAGAGGCCTCGGAGATGCGAGAGATCCAAGTTTAACTACATGTAAAAGGATGGCTCGAGGGACTGATAATGGACTGGTGAGATTTTTGCATTTGGGACATCAGTACAATTTATTGTAGGTCAGTAATGAAAAGAAAATGGAAGCATGGCATTTTGCCAAGAATAAGAACTATGGGTGAGTGCTCGAACCACTTGTGCTGGGCGGCTGTGAGAAGAAATAAACAGCTGTAATTTGGGCCAGAAAACACTTATGACCCAATCTGTGCTTTTGGAAAACAGCTCTTTATTCCTATTTTTTTGTCAAGCTATCACTGGAGGAAGTTCAGGACCTTTTTCTTCATAAGATGCTCACCCAGAATATTTTATATCCATATTGGGTTGCAGTTCATTTCAGTCATACTGTTTCTATTATCTGATAAATGACAGGGCTTTCAAGGGAGAGAATAAGAAACATGTATTAGGAAACTCTGACACATGTAATCAATGGTGCAGAAGTTGAAGATAACTTGAGGATTAACAAACATTTCGATGAGCAGGCAGCAAACTAAAACAAGAGGCCAGACTATTCACAGCTGAATTTCATGTTCACATCTTCATGGATGCTGTTACGTCCCATGCAAGCAGATCAAAGTGAGAGACTGGAACCTCTGCCAGGACACAAAGGACATGTCTACCATGAAAAACGTGGTTACATCTTGCAAAGTTAGCTAGCTGGGGTGGTGATTTAAGGCAGTAGTGTTAAGAAAGTTTGGATTATAGGCTGATTTAGTTACTCTAGCTCAAGCTGAAAGGAAAGACATAGTGAAAGGGAAGGTGCTATGTGGAGCTAATGTCCAAGTTGCCTTTAATTCACTCTTGCTCCAACCTGGGTGACAAGCTTCTTGCAAGGGAGTTGTGTGTGAAATGTTTTCAGTGCATGAGGAAACCCCGGTTGCAGGAGAACCGGGAAGGCCATCAGCTTCCCTTTATTTTCTCCTTCATTCCTGTGTACTCAAACTGAATAAAAGTAAATCTGGACCTGGGAACACTTCAGCAGGTGACACCAAATCTCCAGACCCTCCTAGTTGGGTGGTATATGAGACTGGAGAATGCTCATCGAGCACCCCTGGAAAAGAAGGTCTTCAACCCTCAAGGCAAGGCAGTGAGGGTCTGTTATTAATCCAGAAACAACCAGAGGATATTTGCTAGGACTTACTGCCATCTTCAGTTTTCAGGCAAAGAAAAGTCACGGATGGCATGGCATCACTTCTTAGTCTGGTAATGGCACAAACCTCACAACCACTATGTCTGCTGCCTGCACATGTAAGTAGAGTTTCTTTCACTGTGTTCCAACATTTCCAAGTTTTGTTTCACAGGTGTGAGCGTACAAAATGCTTTTTAGGCATAGGAAGAGATCTCACTCTTACCTGGCTACCTGACTCCAGTGTCATACCTATTCCCTGTCTCTAAATAAGCAAGAAGAAAAATGAGAATCGTTGTCTTCTGCAACTGGAGGAGCACAAGGCATGAACACAATTTAAGGTCATTTGGGATCCCCATAGTGGAATCAAAGTTAGTTTTCCAAATTCCAACAGAAGACTTCAGTCATGGCTGGATCAGGTTGGATATATGATACACAACAATCTTTGACAAAAAACAATGGCTGGGTTGTGTTTCCTGCATCTGAACCTCAAGGAAGGCAGGCTTGGAAAAAGGACAAATCTATTGATGTAGTTCACCTGCCAGCAACAGCAGCACTGATGGAGAGGACAGAGCAGGAAATTGGCAGAGAGAGCCATCATGTCTGGAGGCTTTATCCTAGCACAGGTAACACATTCTTTATTTCACATTTATTTTCTTGCCGTGTTAAGGAAGGGGAAAATAGACACGCTTATTTCTCCTGCTCATTTTCCTGGACCATCTGGTGCTGCAGCAGAGATGACATATCACTGTGAACAAGGGGAAGATGTCACAGTTTTCACTAATAGCTGTGGGAGGAAAATAATTATTTTAAAAGTATGTGGGCTGTACAGACCGTACTTGTTAAGTCAAACTACCGGCAAACTTATTTCAGACATGAAATGTTTGATATTAAATAATCAGTAATGCTAGAGATCAGCAGTCCCAGTCATAAGGGCCAGGCTCACTTCTACACCTACCACGGCTGTAAGTCAGGTACCACTTCACCAAAGCTCATTCACATTCTTTGGCATTTCCTGGATTCAATAAGAATGAGAAATTATAGACAAGCCTGTGCCACAGGTTGTTCGCACCATGTACATCAGTGATTGCAATCAGGTAGGGAAACAGGTCAGGATAAGAAGTAAAGCTGATAACATGACGTATCACCTTCCAAGCAGTGAGAAGAATATATTGATTTTGTTCTGATCCTTTCTGTATTGTTTCTCTAAAAGCCCTCAGGGCATCCATGTAAGTTTACAACTCCAGATAATTTCACAATAAATAATAATCAAACTTGGAAGCACTAAAGATGTGAAAAGAAATGAAACGCTTGTCCTACATAGGGAAACTGAAGAAACATCATTCTGATGAACAGAAACGAGTGAAATTTGCAGTTGTTCAACAGCTTAAGGGGCCTCTTGGAAATGTCTTGAAAACTATCTGATTCTGCCCAGAAACCTGCGAGATGTGTGAAATAATAATTGAAAATAGAGCTTTATAGAAATCAGATGGAACGATTTGACTCATAAGTAGTCTTCTTTTTTGGAATGAAATGAACATTTCCTCTTCTTCCCCCCAAACAAATCTGTTGCACTGAAATGTTGGTATTTGAAAAATGTTGATAAACTCTAGTTACAATGAGAGCTAGTCAGAAAATGGAAACAGATTTGGTAAATAAGTATAAACAAAACAGCATGAATTTGATTCCTGGAATTTTGTAGAATTGCTTTGCTTGTTCTTTGCAAACAAGTAGAGCTACAACTTCAGGCATTCAAAAAATAAATGCAATGTTCAGAATGCTCCTAAATCTGTGCCAGGATAAAATAACAGAATTCATTATTCAATAGCTCACAGTTCAGCATAGTATTGTTTTCTTTTAAATGCATAGCAGCCAATCATAGAATCATTAAGGTTGGAAAAGATCTCTAAGATCATCTAGTCCAACCATCAGCCCATCCCACCATGCCACTGACCACATCTCTCAGTGCCACATCTCCACGTTTCCTGAACACCTCCAGGGACAATGACTCCACCACCTCCCTGGGCAGCGTGCGCCCCTGCATCACCACTCTTTCTGAGAAGAGCTGTTTCCTGATATCCAACCTGATGGAACCACCCAATGGAAGTAATAGATGGGCAGAGCAAACAGTTTTAAAATTAAACTCCTGTCCTGTAAATTGTTTTCTGGAAAACTTGCTGAACACAGGATGTTAAATATTCATAGAAAAATTCAAGTCATGTCTACTTGTAATTATGATGCTCAGCTACAAAAGCAAGAATGTGTTCAAAATGTCCACCTTTTATAGTAATGGATAAATATCAAACTCTACCGAACATCATCTCTTTGTGAAAGAAAGATCATCTCAGTGATGGTTTGGACCATCTAGCTCCCATTGCATGAGAAAGATTTAAGTGTTGCCAATCCATAATTACTCATCAATACTAGTTGGAAGGAATGTTTGATAAAGAAATAGGAACCTAATTCAATAGGACATTGTTAGAAGCTCTAGAGGCAAGGTCACAAATAGGACCTCCAGAGGTTTTTGTTGGAAACACTGTAATTTGTTCTTTTGTGTAGAAGGGAGCTGCCATATCCAATTGGAAATAAAAAACATCTATTGCAAGCTTAATGCAATTTTATTGGAACTAAATTCAATCTCTTCATTTTTGATGCAGTAATGGGTCAGAACGCAGAACTCCGGAGCACAGCATCATACAAGTAGCGTTCCTGCGGTCAGAGATGCCACCACCAGAATACACTCTATAAAGAAGCAAGCCTTGAAAATTTATTTAGAATATTTAAAAGAATATCATTCTTCTCAGTTGCAAACAGACCCGCAAACATTCGCCAGCAAGCTGTTTTTCAGTCATCATTGCAATCCCAGGCTTCAAACAGAAAATCCATGCCCTAGATAAAGAAGATCACTTCTCTAATGTTATTTTTTCTCCTTCCTCAAATAGGTTATACAGTAAGCTCTCTGCTTCAGCTGATTAAAACACACCATGCATAAGGGAGTGGGAGACACACACATGGAGTCAGACCCTCAATTTATATAATCTCCGTTGACTTCAGTGGAGTGACACCGATTTATTGCAGGAAGGGTCTGCCTACAGACTCTTAAAGGATTGACTGGTAACATACAACAGAACATTTTTGGGGAACAAGGTATGCTTTTGTGAGAAGGATTCTTCCTATGTCTTGATTATGAGACAGAAACTTTGCTAACGCAGACAGGGGCAACACTGCAATATTTATGGTACCTGAAAGGAAATACTTTGTATCTAAGATGCTCAATAGTCTAATTTACATGTTTATTGCACAAAAGAGCAATTTATTTACAGGCAGAAAAGCACCTATACATTTTAAAGCAGTTTAAAGAAGGGGATGAATTTGAAGGAACAGAATAAAAAGACATTTTTCACCTGTTTGGATCTGTTCTTCCCCTCCTCTTGGTCACTAGGAAGAAATACTGTGAAGTAGCACTTCGGATAGCAGAGGTCACTCATAGCATTTCTATCCCCTTTCCACGCTGCTTTGGCAGCCTGGCTCGTGTCATAACTATCACAAGTTTATTTATAGTTTAGCAGTGTTATGAGAGGTCAAGCAAGGAAGGAGATGAAGTCCCTAGGGAGTCCAGGGAGGAATTTTGTTGTGCTGGATCTTTGGATTATTATTTTTTTAATGTTTATCCTCAAAATAGCATGTTTTGGAATCTGTTCCTTCCTTTCATTTCTCTGTGTTTCTCCTCCATGGCTGTTTTGACAGTGATGCTCTTGAGTCTCAAAGGTACTCAGCAGCACTGGGGCAGGAGTGGGCATACCTCAGGAAGCCCATGCTCTCCTGCCACCCCACACTGGCTTGGTCAAGAACTCTCTGAGCTGGAATGGGAAAGATTAAGGACTCCCATGAACAGATACAGGACAAGAAATTCCCAAATCACTGCTTGAGGGGTGTAGTCAGAGTGCTGCTTCTTCAGCAAGGCAGTAATGCAGTGATGACAGCTCTGAGCTGGTTAATAGATCACCTTCTGACTGAGATTGAATAGCTTCACTCGGTACATTCAGCTACAGACCAGGCCCTGTTTTCAATATCGTGCTGCCTATAACACTTGACAGGGTCAACAGGCTGCTGTAGAGATCAAGAGAACAGATCAGCCTTCCAAAAATTCAATATTAATTATTGAATATTTACGTTTACCAGGGGGAAGGAATGATCAGAGTTTCTCTCCGAGGCTGTGTATATATCTTTGTATTGCAAGAACAATATAAGTCAGACCTTTGTATTTGTCATTTATGTGAGAGGAAAATTAACATCACAAGCATTATTAATAAGGCATGAGCGACAGAAAGGAGAGGAAGCAGAGCAGCTCACTCCCTGCAAATTTCCCTCTATGTATGTTAAGTAGATTCATTGTGTACCGATTCCCCTTTTCTCTTTTCTATGGCAAATCTGAATTTTGATAGCATTCATACACCACTGATTGATACCCCTGCCCCTTCAGCCATCAAATTATAGCCCCTTACAAATACGAACAAACTCACCCTTGCATCAAGCCTTGTATCAACAGCACCAAGTGCCCAATCCATTCTTTGGGAGGTCCACAGTGTGGATGAAGGCACAGGTTAAAACAATATGTCAGACCTAAAATAGGAGTTAAAGGATCAGTACAAAATTGTGCAGAAATAGGTTATGTGGAGAAGACGTATCGATCACATCGGTCCTCCTGGCCTTCAGAATCCATTTAATAAAAGTTAACTCCAGTTGGCTCTATGCCCTACAGCCATACGTCTCAGCCTGTTTCATAATGGAAATTACTGTCCCTCAGCCCTACAGGTAGGAAAGTGAAGAACTGAGAAAGCAGGGCCCCAGCCTGAGGAATATTCAGCTGCTTGAATTTAGCAGGGTTTTGCCTAACACCGCAAGTCTGTCAGATGTGTTGGCTCAAGAACTTAATCCTTGGATTTACAGCTCCTTTGCTGAGCACTGAGGCAGATGGAGGTGGAGGGGAGGTGAAGGTGGTGAGCAGCATTCCCCGTTTTGAGGTGATTGATGGGTGGATGCACAAACCCTAAAGTTTGCAGACAAACCCAAGCCCAGGTAGCTGAGTGCTGACCTCCCAAGTCTGTCCCTGTCCTCCCAGCTGGAGAACCACAAGGAACATTGGCATGGACACCCAGGGTGGAAACTGTAGAAACATAGAATCATACAATCGTTTCTGTTGGACAGGACTCTTTAAGATCATCTAGACCAACTCCCCTGCAATGAACAGCAAGCATTCCCCAGACAGAAGGGAAAACCTGTAAGTGGCTGCTTGGGGACAGTCCTCAGGCTGGTGTCACCCTTTTTAGCACTCAAAAATATAAAACTTGCTATTGAAAAACATGCATTTGGCAGAAGCATTGCTGTTGGTGAGGTGTGAAGGCTGGTGAGGTGGTGGTTTCCTTAAAATGGGCCGCAGAAATTATGTTCATTCAGCTGCTAGATTCCCCTATGTGCTGTATTGTTTTGTTCTGTTTCAAAACACCATTTTGCTCTGCCTTCTTTCCACTCCTTACAAACAGTCTGTGCCAGGGTGGTTAACACCTAAACAACTTTTTAGCTTCTGACACCTACTACACACACCCTTTGGACCCCCAGACCTCCTTGTGTCCACTAGGTCAGTGTATCTCCAGATGTAAGGATAAAATGGCAGCAGCTGCTGATCTTCAGCTCTTGCTTTTCACACTATTTACTACGCAATATTGGTGTATTAAAATATTGCACCTAATCATAATTAACAATGATACTTAGCAACGTCTATATGGCTCTTCACACCTTTGAAGTGCTGTGCAAACACTCATTAATTAATCTTTGCTTTGGGGATTCTGTACACCAGCCTCTTACACAGTGCACCAAAAGCCGCTCCCCAGGCATGGAGCCACTCTTAGTGGGATGGGCTGAGGGCTGCCCATGGAGATGGAAACTGCTCCCCCAGGAAAAGCTCAGCTCTGTACATCCAGAAGGTACTCAAAGCTGTTCCCAGGGGAGACATAATAGCGAAACCTTGCAGGAATAGACGATACAGACTGGAGAAGGAGAAATGATAGGGATGCCCTTGGTCCCCAACACTTGTGCTGGTCCAGCTTGGCAGCCATCTAATGATGGTTGGTGCCACCTAACAATGGTTGGTGCCTTTCTTGGGTCAGCCCAAATCCCATGTGCTCATGACCTGCATTCCTCACAGCTTGCCTGAGGATGGGAGTGAGGAAGGATGGAAAGGTGGTGGTGGAGACAACTGGTGGACCTGGTTCATAGGACCCACTTCAGGGGTGCAGCACAGCACTGCCCCACAGCTTCCCTATGTTCAAACTTGAGCCCTGGTGGGAGTTTCTCTCTGGTTTGTATTTTGGAGGTGAACGGAGGTAGGATTTTGAGTCTCATTCAGCAGTGTGTGTATCTCTGCCTGGAAGAAATGCATCTTTTCTCAGCTTTTCACTGTCTTGCTCTGAAATCTCCACTCCCATCCCTCTGCAGAGCTCAGTAACAGCTTGCTTCATCTTCCTACTGTCAGCACTCTGCTTCGACCCTTTAATCAGAGGACTTGGCTTTTATCTGGAAGACATATGCCTTAGGTGTCTTGTATAAGGTGCCACACAAAGCAAATTCAGCCAGGCCTGCCAATAACACATCATCTTACCAGATGGGGATAAACAGACTTGAATTCATTTACTCCGTTTTCTCCGCTCAGTATTAGCAAGCACCAGAGAAAAGGCTGTTACAGGCTCTGTGTAACATCTCTGGGTACTGGGATTTTGTTCTTTGCATTTGAGGAGAGCTCAGGTCAGACTCATAGCTTCTTTTTAACAGACACGGTTGGCATTAATAAAGCGAGACGCTTTTTGCTACTTCATCCCTATGACATTGTAGGTACCAAAAATGAATGGTGTCAAGGAGGGTTTTTTTTTTTTTTATCTCAGAGAAATCTCAGATGTGCTTTTTTTTTTTTTTTTTTTTTTTTGTGCAATTCAGATAAAACAAGACCCCCTAGGTGAAGATAAATGGCTTATGTTGAATCTTCAATGGAGAAGTGACCAAGCTCATTTTTTTTTTCCTTTGGTGACCTCAGCAAGATTGATATCTAGATCTCATCAGCTGAAGTGAAAGAGTTATTATTACAGAGCCTGGAGCAGAGCTGACATATCTGCAATGAATGAAGTAGTTTCTGGCTTAGGGAATTCAAATAACCAGGCCAGGGACACACTGTATATAGAAAGAGCAGAGATACCAGCATTCAGACCCACGACACAGATCTCAGTCAAAAGATCAGAGAAACACATCTGAGGAGAACAGATTTTTTTCCAAAAGTGTTAATTGGAATTTTTGGTATTGTCATCATTCTCTCTCTTTTCTTTCAGTACTTTTTAAAGCCACTAATATTCTCTAGGTTTCCTCCAGCAAAATTAACTATTTTTCTCCATGGGAAATTTAAAGAGAATATTCTTAAAACATTCTTGCAAAGATTGATCACGCTCAGAAAAGACAAAGATGGAGATAGTTGCTTGAGTGCTAGAGGAGGTATGTCCCACTGAACAAGGCCAACTTATTCCCTGGGTTATGCTCTCTGCCTTGGGCACACTAGGTATACAACTGTAAGACATGGCCATGGAGGCACGCTACTACAATTATAAGACATGGGCATGCTCAGAAAACCCCCAATAGGAGCATCCTTAAGGGGTGGGTGGCAAGGCTTTGTCTTCATTATTGGGAACAGGTGATCCAGAAAGTGGCATCCACCCCCACATTGTCCTGGAATTTGCACAAAGGACAATCATGAGAAGCTTGTATTTTAAATAAAGTGAAGAGTGCCCATTTGCTGATTGGGATTACAGGCACACACAGATTAAGACCCTGATCAGACACCCACTGAAGTGAACGAGGGGAAAAAAATTGCTACCAGCATCAGCGAGCATATGGCACTCCCAGATTCAAGGTCAGATGGATAACGTGCGACATGGCTGATATTTCACACCCCTGGAGAATGCATTAACCCTGCTTGGAAATAGTCACATTTGCTCACGTACATTAGCCTGAATTTAGGAAGAAGCAGGTCTGTGATCACGCTGCCTGTCAGCTTCAACACAAATTGACAGAGTGAAAGAGATCTCAAAGACCGTGAAACTTGAGGAGCTTAATTAAAATCAACATCTGGGCAAATTAAAGGCGAGAGACTGAAATGAGTGCCTCTGCAGACAAAGACGCAGGCAGCACCTTGCTGCTGAACATCTGCCTCTGCCCCCTGGGGCTTTGCAAGGACCAGGATATCCAGCAGGGACAGCACCATCCACATCCTTCATCCCTGCTCACAAAGCTGCTGTTTCCCAGATGAGCAAATAAATGCATTTGTGTATGAAGAACTGGGATCCTGTTTAAGGACATACATACGTGTGTTGGGAAAATGATGTGTAAAAATGAAATTGAATCCTCCCCCTCCCCCCCAAAAAAAGCCAAATAGGGCACTCTTCTCCTTTACAGACTTCTTGTTTTTCATTTTGTTACTGTGCACGCAGGGCTCTCAGTTCAATCAGACTGTCCACAATGGTCTTTTTTGAGATGTACCACCACATAGCTCAGCCCTGGGCCTCCTTAATCTGATACAGCAGGGTGGTGAAAATAGGCAAGGACAGATGTTCAAATGCTTCTGCTTTGGCAACAAGAGGAGCAAATGTAGTGAAGAGGTCAAGGGCCAGGAGAAGAGAAACGGAAGAAAGGCCACAGCTTTCAGTGAAGAAAAGTACCACAGCTCAGAAACTGCATGGAAGCAAAATAATGAAGTCAAGGACCTCACATGCTTCTGCTGCAGCTGGAAAACACTTAAGCCTGAAAGTCGGATTTAGATCTGTCACAATAACACTATGCATTTCAGATTGATTGAATTATAACTCACAGGTGCTCCCCGCTCTGTGCATTTCATCTTTCTTCCCTCCACAACAGGCTTTAAACTCCTGCTCACAGACAGATGAAAAAGATTGCTTCCTTGCATTCTCCTTAACACCACTAGGTCTCCATCGCGTTCATAAACAACTATTTTAGCGCGTAGTGCTCTGCAGAGGAAATCCAACCACCGTCAGTGCTGGCTGTTTTGATGGACTGAGTAAACATGATATTTTGGTGACAGGTAATTTTCATACTCAACTGATTAATTCCAGAACACAGGAACAATGGGCTTTTTCAGCTGCTGAATAATGCATGTATGGCATTGCAACTGGTAAGCAGCAGGGTTCCCGGTTAGCGATAGAAATTCACACACCCATGCTATTTTAATAAGCTATCACTGGTAAAGAAGTCTATTTACGTTATTCATCTCCAACATTTGCACAAACATGTCAACTGGGGAAGTGTGTGGGGGGAGGTAGGAGGGAAAAATGAGGTCATATTCATATACACTTTCTTAGATGTTTGATTTATGTAAGACTTAAAATTAAGCAAAAAGCTTGCTTCCACAGGAAAGAAATCATCATAACCAACACCTGGAACCTGGAATATATGAACACAATGGAAATGGACAGTAGCAGAGAAAAACAACAGAACAAGAGGCTCCTAGGCTCCTACAGAGTTTGAGGAGCCAAAGCCATTCCGGGTTTCAGTCACTTAGCTTGTTGCTGGCTCTGGTTCCTATTAACCCTTATTTAGGCTCAGTGGAGATCTTATCATTCTCTACAACTCCCAGAAAGGAGCTTGTGGTGAGGTGGGGTTCAACCTCTGCTCCCTGGTAATAGTAACAGTATGAGAGGTAATGGCCCCAGGTTGCATCAGGGGAGGTTCAGGCAGGATATTAGGAAAAAATTATGCTCAGAAAGAGTGTTAATGCAGTGGCACAGGCTGCCCAGGGATGTGATGGAATCACCATCCCTAGAGGAATTCCAGAACTGTGGAGATGTGGCCAGTGGGTACGGTGGGAATGGGCTAATGGCTGGACTAGATGGCCTTAGTTGTCTTTTCAAACCTTAATGATTCTATGAACTTATTCTCAACCCTCTGGAACCGTTTGAACAGTGTCTTTCCTCATCACTGTCTCCCATGAACAAACCATGAGCTCCCAGAGGAACCAGAATTCACAGGTTTCCCAGCTCCACTTTTGCACTGTATTTGAATTTGGGTTGAGGGTCACCAGGATGGAAATCAGGGCCACTCCTTGGGTTGTGAATGCATAGACATCAAAAAGAAGGAATACACTCTTGACTGTGGGATCGAGCAACAGACTCACTCTTAAGCTTTGCTGTGCTTTGAGATAGATGATTCTTTAACTGTCACTAGAGACCTACTCAATGCTGAACATGTGTAGAAGTCTACTTTTCCAGACTCTAATTAATATTGATCAAAGGAGCGATTCATTTGCAAAGGTAGAAGCGTCTAGTATTGTTAGAGGCTCTGGGGTATCCTGCAAGGTTTCCAGCTGACACTCCAGAGGGGTGCAGGTTTCCCATAGGGTAGTGTTTGCCAGTCCCAAGGGGTATCTTGGATACTCAAGTGTATTAAAGACGACACCAGATGCCTATGTTTAGACAGCTACACCACACCCTTGACCTCATTGACTATAATGGGAGCTTGGACAGCTGGACATCTAAATTTGTGTGCTTTAGTCTGCAAGCTGAATACTTCCCCCCAAAACGTCAGTCTCCACATTTTTGCTGTAACAGGTCACTATAAGCCAGATTTTCAAGAAAGCAGCTCCTATTTTGGCATCCGCACAACTGCCAAACTTACAAGTGTGATCAAAGGTGAGGCTGAGTCCCTCTGAAGAGAAGGAGGCTTGAGCAGGTCAGGTTGATCTACTACACTATAGAACCATGGAATTATTAAGGCAGGAAAAGACCACTAAGATCACCTATCTGGCACCACTCCCATTGAGCCATGCCCCCCAGTGCCACCATCTCCTCATGTTCCAGCTTCATGTTCCAGCTTCTCAGTTCAAAAAATGAAAGTAAAAGGGAGTCAGAAGACATATTTACAAACCTGAAAATCCTAAACACGGGAAGTCAATGTGTGTGCAAAGGACCTCTGCACATGCAGCAGAGGAGACACAGCCACAAACGGTTCCACGTCCCTCCAGGCAATAGCACTGATAGAGATGCGCTAATTGTTCCTTTTCTGTGTCTTTGTGTCTTTTACTCATATCTTTATGACATAAAATTATTTTGAAGTGAAAAACAGACTGGTCTGCCCTAACCAGTTAATCTCATACACAGCTTCCGCTTTCTTTTATTTTTCCAGTTGGGATCTAGTTGCTGGTGCAGTTTTATCCCTTATGATCTCATGCTCAACTTTTCATCCGTGTGGTAAGTTTTGCAGTCAGAATACTCCCTATCCCAAATTTCGTCCTCCTCAGCTGCTTGGGAGGTTTCCCTCACCCTTTTCAGAGCACTTCTAAGAAATTATGGGAATAGATTTTCCTCTCTTTCAGAGAGCAGTATTGTTTCCCAAAAGAGCATAAAAATGGTATATACATATTTTTCAGGACACGACTATTACACATCCATCCAACGACTTATATCATTATGCTAGAAGCTTTGAGCTTTTTTTTTTTTTTTTTTTTTTTTTGGCTTTGTAAATAGAAAAATATCCCCAAATCTTTGCTGTGGGACACCCTGGTGTGTATTAAGGTACGTGGGGGTGCCCAGCTACGGGAGGAAGGAGGTGGAGCCCCAACATCACATTGTGCAATGTATTATTTCAGCCTCTCTGGAGGCTAGTAATTGCATGTGTCTGAAGAACTTTAAGGTAACCCGCGTCCAGGGTAATGGCTGCATAAGGAGACCAACTGGCAGAACACATTGAACCAATTTTCTTCCAACCTCCCCTAAGTTTTTCTTTAAAAGCCTTTCCCCTCAGTCTGGAGAGAAGCATGAGGAATTTGCCTGAGCTTTTCTGGGAAACCAGGGGAGGAGGAGGAGAAGCTGTGATGGTTACAAACCTCTTTTCCCTGTTGTGGTTGTCTTTTCTCCCTCAGCCCAATTGTAATTAAACTTACTGTTGCACCCACTGTGCTAGACACTAATGGGAAACTGCAAATAGACATTCTTACACTTCAGGGACTATATGCCAAAAAGATAAGAGCAGAGAGTATTATTCTCCTGTTTGTGCAACTGTGGTAGGCAATGGGGATTTATAAAAAGTTATTTGCCAACACTTTCAGCCAGCTTTTTAGTGTCTGTGGGAAGCAGGGCGTTTACCCCTCTCAAACAAAGTCGTAAAGGAGCTGATTTTGTCAGGACTCATTCTGGTTGTTTGCTGTGAGACACCACAGATGTGTGGTTTTCTGCACTTTGGTTTCTAATACTCAAACCTAAGTCAACCTGGCTCAACTTTTCTGACTGTTGAGTACCCACACAGTCTATAATGTAATTCCCCCTATAGTGCCTCACAGAACACTGCTCTGCAGTGCTGTGAAGGAGCAAAGGGAGGTGAAGGAGAACAGAAAAGAAAGTTATTTTGAGCACAAAGCCTCTAGGCAGATGTAGCTTGTAGAACTATCACATTCGGCCCGAGTTACTGGAGCAAATCAATACTAATTATTTTAAGGCTGTGGCCTTATGTTGGGGCTGCTCAGAGTACTCACAGTGATTTTTTATTTTTTATTTTTTGCTTCTTTTGTAAATTGGCAGTATGAGCCACTATCGCAGCATGCAGAGCAGGGATGCTGCAGGGCAAAGAGATGTCCAACCCACTGCTCTCAAGCAAGCATAGCCAGCTTGCTGGTGCTGATGGAAGATGGATTTTCTGTTGTGAGAGAATCCCCCAAATTCCCCTTCCTCATGGGCAGGACTATGTTTTGGCTCCTTACTTTGGAAGAAAAGGAGAAAACAAACACAGCTGTTTGTGGTATTTCCACTTCCGCTTAAGACTGAGTTTAAAACAATGAGTTTCCTTAAGCTCTCACCCCAGAGGTTGCCCATAACAAATCTGATAGCTCTCTTGTGAAGGCTGATGCTTCAGACCCCAGTACTGTCCAACACAGCATCCACGAGGTTTGCTACTCACCCATACTTGGCCAGAGAACACCACAAAACTAGTCCACAATGTCCATCCCCCTGTATTTTTCCTAACTTCCAAGAGCTTCTGTATCCCTTCTGCTGTCTGAGATCTTCAAGCAAGAGAAGCTCAGAAAAGCAAGTGCTTTGCAAGTCAGTTCCTGTAAGGGTTCTTCCTTATACAATACAAGGGAATGCAGGCTGCAATCCCAGCACCCCACTTAGGAAATCACAAGTATAGTGTAGCTGGCTTTGATGCATGACATAGGTCTGGGAAGGGCAAGGGTAACCAGTAGGTCAACCATAAAAATCAGTGCAATGATATCCAGCTACCATTTAGTTTCTCCATTTTGCAGGAGGAGTTATAATGCTTTTCTCTTACAAAGACTCTTCCCAGCATTGATTTTATTTTTCTTGATTTAGTGGATGGAACAGGAAACATAAAATATTATTTCCTTTCATTCAAAATGAAATATTTCTTTCATTGCCTGTTCTGGTTGTTTTTATTCTATTTTATTTTTATGGGCTTTTTTTTTTTAAAAAAAAAAGTTACTTTCCCATACAAAATTCTGATTCAAAATGTAAAGTCTTAGTTTTTCAAAGAGCAAGATGCAAGACTGCAGTCTTTCCAAATGCATTTTTCTTACATACTTCGGGGTTGGAAAACCTTGAAAATATGGCATGATTTCACCAAGTCTCAGGTTAACCAAAAACAACTTGTTTATGGCAAGTGAACTACTGTCTGAGAGCTTGCTTCACTGAGCTCCGTTCTCTACCAACCCTCTTTGTCTTTTTAGATTTGAAATTCTTCAGGGAAGGGACTGACTTCCCGTTTGCACAGGGGAGAGCACTTTGAAGATAAAAAATTGTTAGAGCAGTGCTAAGTATTGTGTAGCCTCAGAAGAATGTGTTATCAGCTTACAAAGCCACTTTGAAAAGTAGCATACACTCAAAGGCACTGACATCTATCTGTAAAAAGAGGAAAAAAAAGTGTAAGTGGGATTTACTGTCTTCTGTATAGCTTTCTCCTAGACCTTGACTGCACGAAACATACTGCAAGTCAGACAGTTTTTTGCAGTAATAACTGCTCTTGATGAAACTTGTTTTGAGAATTTAGTGGAAGCAAAGGGATGACAAAGCTTCCTACACTCAGATCCAAAAGACCTCCTCAGGTCACAGCAGATCAGCCCAGACTTTACAGAAGCATTGTCTGCCCAGAGAGTTTGTGAATGCCTCATCTTCAAAGGTGCTCAAGGCCAGGTTGGGGCCCTAAGTAGCCTGAACTGGTACTTGATCCAGCAGCTGGCAATCCTGCCCCTGGCAGTAGGTTGGAACCAGGTATCTTTGAGGTCTCTTCCAACTTAAGCCATTGTATAACCAATGAATGTACAGATATTATAGTCAGGAAATAAACCACAGAGTTCAGCAATTATTATACCAAAAATAGAATAGAGAGAATGCTTACCCATATCCTGAGCTCAGTATGAAACTTCAGAGGAGGAGATCTCCAGAAGAGATCTTTCCCTGCTGGCAGTCAGCCCTTAAATGGGTCTAGGAAGGTAAGCCTCTGGCAGCACAGGTGAATTGCCTTCACCTGTGCTCTCAGGGCTGACTCATTGCTCTCCTCAGGTGATCAATCAGAGGTTCAGGCTGTGATTCAGCAGTTCCCATACAGCCATTCTATCTATCATGGAGCTCATCAAGTTGTATCAGCTACTGCTGATTTTCGGGAAAGTCCAACTCTTCTCAGAACTGATATTCCTGAGAGCATTTTGGGGGGCTTTTTCCAGTGGATATCAGTACAGCAAACTGAATTATCAGCACAAACAGCTTCAGAGCTGGACACAAACTGAACTGAATCAGCTCCAACTGTGCTGTATTGTTTTTCTAAGAAAAGATCTTCCTACTTCTCCCTTTCTGGCTGGACCACCTTTTAAAAAACTCCACGAATGATTGGTATTTCAAAATCAGCAAAATATAAAGCTTGTTGCTGACATTCCCAGTCTTCTCCACGCCTCTATACCATGTCCTGGAGCTTGAGTGGTTGAGCGAGGTCCTACTGCTCCTCTTCAGGGCTCATCAGCCCAACTAAAATAGAAGTCCCTTATACAGCCATTGCAAAACACCTCCACTCTTCATTGTTCTTGCCCTACTCCTTAGAAAGCCTGCCATCCTAAGAAGTCATGTGAATACCTTCCCTATGCACACACATTTTTTGCTTCTCCTCATTTCTATTTGAGGATCACAAACACCCTTTCTCTTCACCACATCACTAGTTTGATAGGAGCCCAATACATTGGAGACCCTGTAAAGATGACTTCCTTAGCAGAACTAAAAATAAGCCTGCAAATCTATGAAGCTCTAGCACAGGCGAGAGCACGGAACATCACCTTTGAAACAGCAGATACACCTCAGTATCTCCATTGCATGGAGCCCTGTGACCCTTGGTGAACCTGGTAGCCTCCCATCTCCAAAAAGGATCCATGCACTTAGAGGAACATGGGGGAATTAGCTGTAAAACAATAACAACCCTTCTGAATCATAAATTCTTGACAAAGCACCATGCCGAGCACCTATTATTGTAATTATTAGTAGTATTTTAGCTCCATAGCTTCACATTCTGGAGCAAGAAAAGAGCTGAACGTGAGTCTGTGGAATAGCTCATCAAATAGAGTTTCTGAAGACTACTTCATCTGTACTTTTTTGGTCTCAGCAAAAAAGGCTGATGTGGCGCTGAGGGACATGGTTAGAGGGCATGGTGGTGACGGGTTGATGGTTGGACTAGAAAAATTTAGTAGTCTTTTCCAACTTTAATGACTCTCAGATGACACACCTTCCACCAAAGACCTGCTGTCTGTTTCCTGTGCCTGGAGCAGTAACTTTGACTAATCCTTGTTCAGATTTAACTCCTGACTTGTACAGACAGGAGAGGCCTTTGCAGCCTCCCAGGATCACTCCCTTCTCCTTATTGCTCAGTGGGAGCTTTCAGAGCCATCAGTATGCACCTAATGACATGAGGTTTTCAGAATACTGCTGCCCACAGATGCCAGCTGAACTCCCAGCTGCTCTTTGAATCACCTTTTGCACTTAAAGCTTTCTGTTATTCTTCCCAGCAATATGCAATGTACATGGAATGCTTCCCAGTTGAAAACCCCAAACACCTCACAGAAGGTCAGCAGCAGAACATCATTCTACCATGGGGAAAATGCAGCACAGAGAGCATGGAAGCCTCAACTAGTGTCACCAGACTCCCAGTTCAATGTAAGCAGCTGTCAGCCATAACATTTCCCTTTCTTTCAAGCCACACATACTGCTGCCTCAGAAGGTGACTGTAAGATTCAAGGATACCACGGGATGTCCCTATGCTACAGAAGATGTTTTCAGGATGTGTGAAATATTCTCTGGGGTATATGCACAGATAAGTTTTTATTTCTGTTTGCTCAAATCCTATTGCTGCACCACACTGACTCCATGTGGTACTGGGAAAGGGAAGGGAATCCAGGTGAAGGAGGGATGACTGTGATGGACAGAGCTCAGAGAAAAAAGTCCATGAACAGCAGTGTGCACATCAGACATTCCTTTACTCAGAGCACATGCTCATGGCATTCGCTGAACATGTCCAACTACAAGTGTTTGGATATTGAGCTACTGGAAGACAAAAGCTGTTCTGTAGAATTCACTTCAGCTCATACTGGGAGGGGGAGTTAAGACCCTTGAAAGTGATTTGGAAAGTTAATTCCAGCTTGGATTTTCTTTAATTGTTTGGTTTATTTTCCCTTATTTATTTGTGTACGTGTGTGTAGTTACTGTTTATGCAATCACAGCTTGTGTGTTTTCACCCCAAATAACTTTTGAAACCAATGGGCACTACCCACCAACTACAAAAGAGACGAAGCGTTCCCAAACCAAAGTGGTTTCTCTGTATTTCTTAAAAATAGGCAGCCAGGTAGCTGGGAGAGCACCAAGCAGAAGGAAGAGCAGAGACCCCCAGCCAGTGTTAGACATGAGAGAGGCCAAACAGAGACACACACAGATATACATACAAACAGATGCCTCTTTCAATGCCCTAAGTGTTGAAAAACCCTGACTTTGTCCCTGTGCCAGAGAATCCAAAGAGCAGGCACAAACCCTGGAAATGAGGCTGCTTTGATCCCACTGGAGCTGAATCACTGATCTCCTGAGGAATTTGCCCTTCTGAGGCTGCAACAAAGAAGTCAGATGAATGCGAGGAGCAGGACAGCAGCAGCTACCTCCATCTTCCTGCCCACATTCCCCTCTGCAACTCCCCATGCCATTTTCCTGCTGTGCCCACGCTGCAAGCACTGCTTTACTTAACCCATGACTGCACTGTGAGGACTAAAACCATGACTGTGTGAGGACTAAATCAGACAGCCTGGGAAGAACCCCTGCAATCATAGAATCATGGAATCATCTGAGTTGGAAGGGGCCCTTAGTGGTCATCTGGTCCAACTCCCCTGCTATAAGCAGGAATGCCCACAGCTCCATCAGGTGCTCAGAGCCCCATCCAGTCTAATCTTGAATTTCTTCAGGAATATCCAACACCTCTATGGGTAACCTGTGCCAGTGCCTCACCACACTCACTGTAAAAACTTTTTCCTTATATCCATTCAAATGACAGAGCCTTCCCACAGGGACACCTCAAGTTAAGCTAATAGCATCCCTTGGAGATGCTAACAAAGCCTATCCTGCTAAAGGATAATCCCAAGGGCTGCTAGGGATCACAAATCCATGACTTTGTATGGCCAGGTGGAGTTCAAAGCCCTTGCTTGAAGCCCTGTGCTTGTCCCTAATACATCCTGTACCTGCTTGTCCCTAATACATCCTGTACCCCAAAGCATCCTGAGTTGGAGGTAAGCCAGAATAAGACCAGACACCACACACTTCTACCACAGATCTACTGAGATGAGAGAGAGAGTGTTAAGGAGGCTTAAGCCCTCATTTTTTCCCTTATTTTCACCGTTGCATGCTCCTATGCTTTAGCAACAGACCCAAAGACACAGTCCATCCCCATTTCACACTGGGGTTGCACCCACCCCAGCCTGAGCTGCAGGAATGCACAGAGACCAAAGACCTGGAAGTTTACTGTAGCTCCTTCCAGCCTCTGAGCTGGAAGCTCAAAACAGGGCTGTACTCCCAACATTTTATCTGTAAAACACCAGCAACTTGCAAAGCACCAAGCAGAGTGATAAGTGAGACCTGCTTTTTGCACAATTATTTTGTGGCAGCCCTAGAAAGCCAGCCAGGTTCTGGTCCATTATTCTGGGTGCTGTGGAAATCTGCAGTTTCTTACATGGAAACCTGAAGCTGGTGGTTTATGCAACTCCATCCTCACCACTCTGCAGGCCAACATCTATCCAGCCGGTGGCTGCTACTGCTCCAAGATTATAACTTGCATTTTGGAAAGGCACTTCTGACATTTTGGCTACTACAGAATAATGCTCACTTGCTCCTGGGAGCATTCTGTGCTCAAGGAGGATGAAATTCATCTCCTCCCATCACACCCAGTTTCTCTTGCATGCTTTTTTTTCTTCCCTTCCTGATTCATTTATAATCAACTAAGAAAAATGTCAGAGGTTTGCAAGAAAAGCAACGGCCTGGCCAATGCAAAAGTCAACCCTTTAATTTAAAGCATTTGAGGGGGGACAATTCAGAGAAGCTGTTCAGCTAATGCACAAACAGTTTGTAATTACAGGAGCGGGCTGGGAAAACAGGACCTACCTAGGGAATATTCTTATTAAATAAAGCAGAATTCTGTCACCTTCTTAATCATGAAATATTGATGAAACTGTAAGCAGCCCCTCTGAGGTTTTAGCCTTTGCCCTCTCCTTGTGTGTGTGTGTGTCCACAGAAAGTCAAAAGGAGGGAGAGAAACCCTCAAAGCCGCACCATGGAGGTGCAGAATACAAACCATGCTGCTCTGTGCCAGTGGATTTTGCTGAGGTAGCATGGGCATATGGATTGGAGAAATAAAAATTCTACACTAGCCAGAACCAGAAACCTGTTTCAGCTTGACTGTGAATAATGGTGGGGTGATTAAATAGGAACAAATTGAAAAAGACAAATTAAAGGGAGGACAGCCACATAAGTCAGTAGAGAAAATGTCAAGCCCTGATCTTCCACACCCCGAGCCACTCCAAGGCTGAAGTGTTGGAAGTGGTAGGGGTTGCTGGACTTCAGATATCCTGGTGTGTTAAACCTTCCTCTGGCCCTATAATGCTGTGTTGGTGGCTCTAGTGCCTGTTCTGGGGTCAAAGAACATAGAATCACTTGAGTCGGAAGAGACCTTTAAAAGTCATTTGGTCCAACTCTGCTGCGATGAATGGGGACACCTACAGTGTACAGCTACAGGTTGCTCAGAGCCCCATCAAGCCCGACCCTGGATGTCTCTAAGGACTGGGCATCCACCATACCTGTGGAAATATCTGGCAATAGGGAAACAAGCACTGAGACCCATCACCATAAAGCATAGGCTAACCAAGGCAGACAGAAGTTTGAGTACCTGGAGCGCAGAGCGCCCATGACCTCCTCTGGGAAGTTTAGGAGTCCCTGAGAAAACAACACCCAAGACACTCCAGCTGGATGCACTCAATATTTGCAACTGTGTTTGGATATTGCAGCCAAGGTGTCTGGCCACACTCATAGACAGCTGGAGACGGGGCAAGAGCCCTGATACACAGCAGACAGAAATGTGCTGAGCAGCAAGATCCAGGGACTAAGAATAATGTAATCAAGAAGCTCAGGGAAGAAAAATCATAAATTTTCATCCTGCTTCTCCCTGCAGTGGGAAGGGACAGAAACACTTTTCAAACGAAATTAGCCATGCTCCTGCCTGCTTCTGTGACTCAGCAACGTGGTCCTACCCATGATAAATAAATAAAGAACAAATGGGAGATGCCCAGAAGAATGACATTGGAAACCTGAAGAAACAAGAGAGCAGTGCATCACCAGTAGTCACCTGGGTAGAGAAAGACTAGCGAATGAGCTAGAAAAAGAGACCCAGGCCAGGCTGGCTAGAAAGCAGCAGAAGAATTAAAGCTCGGAAGGAGAATGAAGGACAAAAATGGGGAGGCTGCAATAGCTTAGAGAGATAGATACATGTCAAGCAGCAGGGGAGCCTTCCCTCTGCCCGCTGTGGTAATGGGGTCTTTGTTCTGCTCCTTTCATCTTCTCACATCCCAGTGCATAAGGGCAGCAGCATCAATCATGCATTGGTCCCAGTGGATGGCAGGACCCAGTTGATTTGCTTCCCCTGATGGCTGGCTCTGAAAGGACACACTCTCATTACTGTTCCTTTCCAGGTCCCAGTAATTTACTCCAGATTTGGCTGCTGCAAACCCTCCAACATGCACTGGTACCATTACTTTGTTTCAACTGCCAGAGAAAGCTGTGGGGGAAATAAACAGATTTCTAATAAAAAAAATAGAAAACACACTCAACATCCCCAAACTTGAAAACTTGCTGC